AACATGAGAAAATCAAGGGTATATGTTGATCCTGAATTTGAATAAACATGGTTGCTCTTATAAGATAAATCTTTTAATTGAAATATGATGAACAAAGGTGTATTAGCCTTTTAAGGTTGTCTTTGACCCTAATGTCAAAAAAATTTACATGCTATTATGAGATGGATTTTGTATTCATGATAAGAAAATTTAGGCTATATGTACCCTTATAAGGTTGTCGTTGACCCTGAAACCGAAAAAACTTGATTACTTTTATATGATGGATCTTTTAAATGACATATAATGAATAAAAATGTAAGAATCTTTCAAGGTTACCCCTGACACTATTTTCGAAAAAGCATGACTCCTAATATAAGATGGATTTTTTTTATTCATCGTGAGAACATCTAGGATATATGAACTTTAAAAGGTTGTTCCTAACCTTGGTTTTAGAAAACCTTGGTTATCCTTATAAGATGAATCTTTTAATTGGCATATGATGATGGAAAAAAGGTGTATGAACCTTTTATGGTTGTCCCAAACATTGATGTTGAAAAAATGTGGTTGCTATTATGAGATGAACATTTTATTCATCATTTGAAAAATTAGGTTATATGAACCCTAAATATTTGACCTTAAACTCTGAAAAATATGGTTGTCCTTTTAAGATAAAATTTTTAATCATGTGAAAAATACAAGTATATGAACCTTTTAAGGATGTCCCTAATCCCAAAATTAGTTAAAGTGGTTGCCATTATGCCAAAAAAAAGTTTATTCATCATTTGAAAAATTAGGGTATATGAGTCCTATAAATTTGTCCTAGACCTTGTAATTGGAAAAATGTGGTTACCTTTATGAGATGAATTTTTATTCATCATGTGAAAAACTAAGGTTTAAGAATCCAATAAGGTTGACTTTGACACTAAAATTGAGAAAAGTTTATTGCCAATATGAGGTGAACTTTTAATTCTTCATGAGAAAATCTAGGGTATAATAACCTTATAAGGTTATCCTTGACCCTAAAATTTTTTAAAAAATTGTTACCATAATAAGTTTGAATTTTTTTCATCACATGAAAAATAATGGTATATGAACCAATAAGTTTGTCTTAGACTATGAATTCAGATAAACTTGGTTGCTCTTATAAGATGAATCTTTTAATGGACACATGATGAAAAATCATATATGAACCTTTTAAGGTTGTCCTTTACCCTAATGTTGGAAAAATGTTGTTACTATTATGAGATGAATTTTTTATTCATGAGAAAATCTAGGGTATAAGAACCCTATAAGGTTGTCCTTCACCCTAAAACTAAAAAAAATGAGGTTTTTATTAAGAAGGAAATTTTTTTATTCATCGTGTAAAAAGTAAGGGTATATGAATCCTATAAGTTTGTCCCAGACTCTAAATTCAGGAAAACTTAGGTACTCTTATATGATGAATATTTTAATCAACATATGATGAATATAAGTATATGAACCTTTTAAGGTTGTCTCTTATCCTGATGTTGAAAAAAGTGGTTGCTATTATGATATATATTTTTTTTATTCATCATGAGAAAATTTACGATATAAAAATCCAATAAGTTTGTCCTTGAACCTGAAACACCAAAAAAATGTGGTCTTCGTAAGAAAATGGAATTTTTATGCGTCAGGTGAAAAATAAGGATATATGAACCTTGTAAGTTTGTCCTAGATTTTGAATTTAGAAAGACTTGGTTAATCTTATAAGATGAATATTTTAATCAAATATATAATGAACATGTGTATATGAATATTTTAAGGTTGTCCCTAACCCTCATGTCGAGTACACATGGTTGCTATTATGAGATGAATTTTTTATTCTTTGTGAGAAAGTCTAAGGTATATGAACTCTATAAATTTGTCCCTGACCCTAATAGAAAAATGTGGTTGTCCAACCATAAGCAAAACATAAGGCTAGGCATTCAAATATCATTCATCATAAGTATTATATAAAGAAAAGCCATACGAATACCAAGTACATTCAACAAAACTCACAAGGAAAATATCAATGAGAGATGCATTCACTTAACCTAGTTCTAAATGCATGTGGTGTCATTCAAAATCACAAACATTGGTTGAAGGCTCATAGAGTAGCCTAGGAATACATGTTGATGAAAAATACTTGGCCACAAATGTTTGACACCTAATGCTCTTATTAAGGGGAAGATACATAAGGGCACATCATGACAATGATGTTCCCTAAGTATTACCTTCCTTGATAACTTATTCTACATTCATATACCCCCATCACAAAAATACTTTTATGCATATGATGCATGTCATGACTCAATGTAAAGCACACACGGTCACATGTTATAATTTTATAGTATTCACAATTTGTGTTATCATTATTAGGCACACATGCCCAAACTTCTCAAATGGCTAAGCCACCAATTTAAATTTCACAACATTTTAATGTTGCAATATTCACAATATAATAGTCATTAAAACACTCCTCAATATTATACAATGGCACCTTAAACATGTATATCTAAATACGTCATCGAATAACCAATTTAATCATTTACTTTACTAATTTCACAATATTATTAACATCACACATCATTTCTTTAAGCATAGCTATCAAATCAACCTTAAAACTACTAATTTTAACTCATCTCAATGATTACACAAGTTCATGAATCAGAATATCCACACCTAGTGAGGCTTAACTCACTTATGATGCCCATCTTGTAGAGAGAAACCTTTGCTCTTTGGAGGTCTCTCACCAAACATGGCCATATACACGCTTGGTGTCATCGTCACAAAGAGCTCCTAAAGCTCTCACGTTTAGCATGGTCAATACCATGCTTAGCGGTTGAGCCACAAAGAGTAACTCATGCTCACTAGAGCTCACACACCTTGCATAATCTTGTTGGCACCAATTGTCGTTGAGACAAAGAGTGTCCTTTGCTCACAGGGATCATTGCACCTAATGCCATGCACTTGGTGTCATTGTTACAAAGAGCTCGTAGAGCTCTTATGTCCAACATGGTTAATACCATGCTTAGTGGTTGAGCCATAGAAAGCAACCCATGCTCATTAGAGCTCTCATGCCTTGCACAATCTTGTTGGCATTGGTCATCATCGAGATAGAGGTCGTCTTTTTCTCTTAGGGATTATGGCACTCGACATCATGTCCTTACATTCGACTCGATGACAATTTCGTGTCATCTATAGAAACTACAAATAACCACACATTTTGCCATTTTTGATCACTTTTAATTCATTCTAATTAATCAATTCCCAAATCAAAGTCTAATACTACTCTTTTGTACCATTAATTACTCAATTAACACTCAAATTACTTAATTATTAGTTATATTATTAAATCTCAACTCAGACTCCATAAATTGGGGTTTCCATAGTATCTTAAGGGTTTTCTACATAAACTCAAATCAACAGCCAAATCACTCATACACACATCTCAAAGCATAATTCACATAAAAAAGACAATTAAAGACTTATAAATAATTATGTTATAGAACACAAGCAATTAAGGGAGCTTTTAAGGACCCTTTCAAAACAACAAAGAAGCAAAGAAACGGGAATAATGATTAATCTCACTACCCAACAATTACACACACCCATGAGTGAGATAACTTACTCTCCCCTTACCTTAAATGTTCAACGATGGCAAGTGGTTTCCAAGGTGGTGGTCTCCTCCTTTAGCTTCATTGTTATGTCATCGCATTTCTGAGTTTAAAGCAACAATTTGAGAAGTGTAAAATGTAAAATAAAACTGACCCATTAGATAACTCTCCTTAACCAAGCCAAGCCACAACTCTTGGGTTAATGAATTAACACAGGGTCAAAATAGTTCCTTTTTCTTTTTATTTAATTAAATAAGCATAACCCAAAATACACATACTATATAATTATTATTTTTATTAAACCTATCCCAAATTTAAATAAAACATGTTTAATATTTTTTAAAATATAATAATAATAATAATATTATTATTATTGCTAGTGAAAAAGTAGGTACTATGTGTCTCCATGGTGTCTTCTTTTGGATATACACATGTTAGTAGAATAGTACGTAGTTGTTGACAATTTCAAAAACAAAATTTTTATACAAAAAGACTTTTTGTCCTTTATTAATTATTATCATGTGATATATTTATGCAATTTTTATAAAAAGTTAAAATTGTCAAAATAATATACATACTAAAACAAAGAATCACTTTTATTTATAAGTATAAAATTTTATTATTATTTAAAAAATTTGAGATATTACACATCTAAAAACATGGTGAATGCCAATTCTAGTAGCATAGGAGAGTTTGTGAAGATATTTCTCATCCTGTGATAAAATGTAGGCTTCATCACAAACTTAGACTCTGGTGCAACTATGTCCTTTTTATTTGGTAGTCACTTAATACTTTTTAGGTTGAGTAAACTATCAAAATTAACAAAATCATTCCTAAAATCACATTTCATCAATCACTTTAGTCCAAAAAGAGATGTTCATTAGCCAATGCCATCGACGAAAATGATGTAACACGTTGAGTGCTAAATAGTATTCTAACTTTCTCATCAAGTGACATCCATGTCAATAGAGTCTAAAATGAAATATGTAGGCTGTTTTTCTCCTCTCTCTTTATTTCTCCCTTGCACTGCATCTTTCTTCTCTTTCTTACATTCATCTATTCTTTCTCTTATTTTAAATGTAAAGTAGTGTCGTAGTTGTTCTATTATGCGACATCCATGTCAATAAAAACTAAAATGAAATATTTAAGTTGTTTTCCTTTCTTTCTTTCCTCTATTTCTCTCTCTTATATTCTTCCTTTGTCCTCTCACTCTTCTTTTATATCTTTAATAAATACACAAATAGATAACCTTTTCCATTCTTTTCGTACCCTGATTGTTTCATCACATAAGATTCGATCCAAATTTTGTGCCTACTATAATTAGTAAGCAACTTAAACAACTGATTTAAATTTAACCATTGTTGAAGATAAAAGTTTTCAATGACACATTCATTAAGCTATATTTCTTTTTCCAATTTTGTTTTCTGTAAATATACAATGTCACATCTATCCAATTATGAATTGGGAAACGCAAAATGATCATACAGTAAACACCTTAATGAGCCTATAATTACCAAATCATTCCCAAGTTCTATATCAATTCTGACACTCAGAGCTGTTACTATATCCTCTTCCTCTTTCGAATTTCTAATCAACTAATCACTCGGAACCGTTTGGTTTGACACATTGGCTCTCTTCTCCTTCAGTTCTTGAGCAAGTACATCTATGGAATCTGAAATTTCAGCTCTATACACGAAGTACTTAGTAGCAACCAAGAAGAGGATGAAATTCAGAAAGTTTAGCACAACAAAAAATCCATAGTAATAATCAAGATGAGAAGCATTGAGGTTGTTCAAAATCCACCCTTTGTGGCCATGTTTCATAGTGATGTGTGAAACTGTGGAGAGAAGAAAAGTGCTGATGTAACTCCCAATTCCCACTGTAGTAATGGAAAACGAAGTTCCAAGGCTCTTCATGCTTTCTGGGGCTTGGTCATAGAAAAATTCAATTTTGGAAACCTCTACGAAGGCTTCACCCAATCCCATGAGTATGAATTGAGGAGCCAAAATGAGTATGCTCAAAGGAACTTGTCCTCCAATTTCAACCACCCCATGTTCTTTGGCCACTTTAAGTCTATGTCTTTCAGTCAAAGATGCCACTATCATGGTCACTATGTGGATCATGATTCCTGTTCCCATTCTTTGAAGGAGTGTGATCCCTCTGGGGTTCTTGGTGAATCTCTTCATGATCTTGACAAAGACACGGTCATAGAGTACAACACAGACTAGCATGGTGAAAGATGTAAATGCAATCAAACTTGCTGGGGGAATGTTGAATCTTCCAATGTGTCTGTCAAGAGTAACTCCTTGCTTTACAAAAAGGGTATTTGTCTGAGCAAGCATTGTGCTAGGAATGAATGTTGAAGCCCAGATGGGGATCATTCTGAGGATTTGCTTGGTTTCCTCTACTTGAGTAACTGTGCATAGCATCCATTCACTACTAGTACTTGAACTAGTTTTGACACAGGCCTTGTTGAGGAAGCTGCATGTGTGTATTTGTGAACAAAACAACATTTCTTAGTAAACAAATCACACACCAAGTACATTTTGAGCATATTTTTGTTTTCTAAAAGTTTGTCTTTTGAACACTTGAAGAAAACATAATAAGAGAATGAAAAAACATCTGACAGAGCCAGCCATCTCCTAACTTTTTTTTTTCTGGAAAAAAACTTACATGTACTATCATTGGTGCTTTTGTTACTATTCACTGCTTAAAATTAGATTTTTCCTTTGATAATATATAATAAATAATTCCATTAAATGTTAATGCGAACACGGAGTGAAACTCCAATTTTGAATATAGAACAATATCATAAGTATTTATAGTATTGTATTTAAATTTAATTCTGATTTTTGGCTTTAAAATCACTTATTTTGAAAATAGTTTTCAAAATTAATACATTTTGGATGAGATTGATTGCTGAGTAGAGAAGAGAATCAAACAGGCTTCTTAGTACCTCAATGATGGAGTGGAATTAATCCTGAATTTTCCTTTCTTTGTGTACTCTTCAACATCAAGCTCGTGTAGTTCTGTGGGACTAACAGGAACAATTTCATTTCTTTTCCTCAAAGCAGCCGCTATAACCTTGGCAATTCGAGTAAATGAACTCCCTGAGGCCAACCTATGTCTATAGAGGGGTGTGCCTGCCAGGAATGCAATAAGTGCTATTGCAAGCCCAATAGTTGGAATACCATAGCCAAGAGCCCAGCCCACATTGTCTTGTATATACACTAGAACTGTGAATGCAAAAAGGGTCCCAATGAAGATGCTGGAAAACCACCAGTTGAAGAATGAGAGCTTATGTGCCTTCTCTTTGGGGTCAAAATCATCAAATTGGTCAGCACCAATGGTGGAAATGTTGGGCTTGGTTCCACCACCCCCCACTGATAAGATGTAGAGTGCACCATAGAACACAGATAACTGTAGTGTGGTGGCCTTCTTGCATTTTGTCACATCCATTTCATGGCACTCTGGTGGCCTTAGGCTTGGAAGGGAAACAGATAGGGTAAGCAGACACATACCCTGCAATGCCAATACACATGAATATTTCAACCAACCCAAAAGATTTAACAATTTAGCATGTCAATTCAGGCCATGTTTAGTTTATCATATATAAAAAGGTTTGTGATCCGATAATAATGTAAAAAGAAAAGTTTTAAACAATGCACGTATCATTTCATTCATGTTTTATATCATGAAAATTCTTTATAAAAGCAATGAACTAATTCAACAAGCACTATACAAGATATGTTGGTGTAATCCTCACAAAGATTTGGACACAGTAATTCATCTAATCATGGCAGGATTGATTGGCTTTGACCTTGATAATCATAAGCATATCCTTATTTCTTCTTACCAATATGATGAATGCATCAGGTCGTTGATCTGAATATAACTGAATTCCGTTTCTTTAAATAATGTTTCATATTCTAGTTTTATAGATGAAAAAAATTTGGTAAGACTTGGAAGACAAAACTTCACTATAAATAATTAGTTTAACTTTTTGACAAAGATTAGTTATCAATAAATTCGATTCATACCAATAAAATGATTAAATTTTTTGTTAAAAAAATGTGAGAAGGGAATGGAAATGTGCAGAAAGACATACCAATAGATAGATAACAGAGGCAATGACAAAGGTCCAATAGCGGCCAAGGTGAGCATCAGCAACATAGGGACCTAATATGGGAGTTATATAAGTAGTGCCAACCCAATTGTTGACATTGTCTGAAGCAGTGACAGTGCCTTGGTGAAGCTTCTTTGTCAGATACAGGACCAAGTTTGATGATATTCCATAATAAGTCATTCTTTCGAATACCTCATACACTGCATAAGACACATGAATTATTCAACTTAATCAAATCAATTCAATGGGCAATAAGATTTGTGCATATTCACAATCTTATGAGGAACATAGTACAATGTTGATTTATGCATGAATTAATGTACAACTTTATTTTTCCATTGTATTTTATTTTAAGGTTAAGCTAATGTTGCTTTAGTATTTAATATTTTTATCAAACAACCCTTTATTTCTCAATGCAATTTGACCTTTAGTGGCTGCTCTGAACATAAGTTAGAGGGGCCACTGCTTGGACCTCCTTTTTTTTAGTAGCACCAAAAAACTATTATTTAGTTTATATAATATAAAAATAAAATTTATAGAATTACATTATATAAAAAATATTATAGAAAATAAATCAATTACAACCAGTTAATTAATTGATAAATGATGTTTTCATTTTTTAACAAAAATCTGCCCATAATTTTAGAAATAATAAAATAGCAATGTTAAATGTAAAATGTTAAACCTCCATATATGTTGACATAAAGTCATAACTAAAGTTGTTTTTAATTTTTTTTTTTTTGCTAGAATCTCAAATTCAAATCACAAACCTTTACTTTGCAAGTTTCTTTGTAAGTTGTCATTGTTATTGATTTTTTTTTTTACCATGCAATAGTCTCAAATGAATGTAGCATACATTTATATATCATTTATAGTAAATGTTTGTTATTTACACCTTTGAATTTGAAAATTGGATAATGGATAATATTCAAATAATTATGAGGTATATTTTTTCAATTCACTGACGGCAAAAAATAAAATAAAATTCAACACAGTTGACATATGCCATCTCTATTACTTGGTTAATCTTTTTTATCTATCATAATATTATGTTTTCTTATCAGAAATCTATAGCGAGTATTTTTTCTTTGATAACTTTATAATTATTACGAAGAACCTAAAATATTACTATTTCCATTTTTATATATAAGATTTTTTTTTACTTTTTAATTATTTCTTTTACAAGGCTATCTTTTAATTATCAGTTACATTAATTATATTTTCTTTAAAATATATTTATATAATAAACAATTTTTTTATAAAAATAATAAATACTTAAAATTAATTGGATAAAAAACTTTCACTCTTATTAAAATTGGAGAAGATAAATACATGTTAATATCTTTCTCTTCCAAAATTTATTAATTAGGTGAGAAATTAATGGTCTTAACTAAATTAACTAATTAAAAAGTGTAATTTAGTTGAAAGGGTCTTATAATTATGAGTGAAGGTAGTCTCCATCCCTTATTATAACACCTTTCAACTAAATTGTACTTGTTAAAAAAATTAGTTATTTTAGTTAAGAGTATTAAATTTGTCAATAATTTAAATATTTTTTCAAAATTATCCTTAACATCTCTTAAATTAACATTTTATCTCTCCACTTAATTATTTTTCACCTAATTAATTATTAATGTTTGAAAGATAAAGATATGACTTAAATATATTTTTAGTCTCTCATATTTAAAATAAATTTATTTTTAGTTCTTCTAATTTAACATAGATACATGTAATTTTTAAAAAAATATATTTTAGTTTTTATACTCAAATTTTGTTAATGAATTTTTTAAATATGGTCACATAAAATTTACCTACTAGTGTTCCAGTTAGTAAAATATTACATTAAACTTACTTGATGGTACATAATTGTCTCAATCTGTCACTTTTAAATATATTATTGGTGACCTAAGAGATTAAAACAAGATTTTTAAAAATTATAGAAACTAAAAGCACTGATTTTAAATTTAAAGGTCTAAAAACATATTTAAGCTTAAATGATATTTTGTCTTTTTATCTTCTCCAAACCTAATCAGGGAGAAATTTTTTTATTCAATTAATTTCAAACATTTATTACTTTTATTTAAAAAATTATTAATTAAATAAGGATATTTTAGAGAAAATGTAATTAATGCATTTGACAATTAAAAGAGAATCTTATAATAAGGAACAAATAGTAAAATAAAAAAGATCTTATACATAGAGATGAAGATAAATAGATAATATATACCATGATTGTTATAAAATTAAATTATTTACCAATGTTAATGCTATCTCTTTTAGGTATACAATCGAGATATTTTGTATTAAGCTAAATTATATTTTTTTGATGTTTTATTTTATTTTAAAATTTATTTTGATTCTTTGTACTTATGTAGGGTGTAAAAATTGTTTAATTAAATTCACTTACATGAAAATTATTGAACTCAAATAATATTCAAATATAAAAAGTCAAACAATGAAAAAATCATGTCAAAATGAGTCTAACTAACAACTAAAAATTAAAAATAACCTTGATGAAAGTATTTATTGGTTGTTCATGTGATTACTTTTACACGATTTTTAGTTTTACAGTTAAAAAAAAACAAATTTTACATCTTAAATATGTTAATAATGGTTTGAAATTATTTTCCAAAAGTGAAAAATGATTATTATTTCAAAAAAAAAAATCAAATTGACGTAAATTTAAATAATAAAAAAGTAAAATAAATATTTCATAAAATAAAGAACTAAGGAACATTTAGTACATCACAATTTTTTTATGCATGAATCATAAAATGAAAATTTGTTTAGTTAGTCATAAATATTTATCGATTTTTCTAATGTGTGCCTGGAACACACTTTAACAATTATTAAAATTCACTATCTAATACCTCTTTTTAGTATATTTATTATGTGAGAGGGTAAATAATAATAAATGATATTAACACTAATTTTTAAAACTAATTTTATATCATTTTTAATCTTGTCCTTCCATTTACTTTTTTCACTCCTAATTAAAACAATAATGAAACAGATTTTAATAATATTTTACTTAAAGTATTAGACATTATTTTATGTTTTCTTCTAACTCTGTTATGTTTTTATTGTTGTTGATTTAATAATATTTTATATTAATAAATAAAATATTATGTAAAAGTATTTAATAATTTTTTAATAAAATTAAAATTTGAATATAAGAATTAAAATAAATATTTCTTAAAATTATAAAAATTAAAAGTATTGATTTTAAATTTAAAAGACTAAAAAAGTTATTTTAAATTTAAAAAATTAAAAATATATTTAAATTTCATTAAAAAAAATATATGATTATCTCAAATAATACTTATATTATATATAATATTTTATTTTTATGTGATATATGTAAATTTTTTTTATAAAATTTAAAACATGTTATATATCTTAAAATGATTATTAAAAAAATAATGACTTTAAATTTTAATACAAACAATTTAAACACTTTATTTAATTTGGAGTAAAAATATATTTAAATCAATTTTATTTTAATTTTTCTACATGTTATTTATTCTTTTTTAATTTTTAATTTTTATTTTCATCAAAACAAAAATGTAATTTTTATAAAATTATTCATAGACACCAATATAATAAAAATGAAGAACATACCACATTGTATTATAACACCAATATAATTTGAAACATACCTCACAGTGGTAATAATAGAAAAAATCAGCAGCAACAAAAACATAACAGAGTTAAAATAATATATATATAAAATAATATCTAATATCTTAAGTGAAATATTGTTAAAATCTATTTCATTATTATTTTGATTGAGAGTAAAAAAAGCAAATGAAAGGATAGAGATAAAAATGACATCAAATTATTTTAAAAAATAAGAGTTAATGCTATTTATTATTGTTTACTCTCACATAATAAATATACTAAAAAGTGACATTGGACAATGAGTTTTAATAATTGTTAAAGTGTGTCCTAGGACACACATTAGAAAAATTGAATATTTATAGAGTTAATCACCTATACACTGCGGTGTAAAGTTTTTTTACACTGGCAACCAATCATATTTTTTAATAGTGTCATACCAGTTACTTATTTAATGAAATAAAAATAAAATAAAATAATTTAAAAGATTTGATTGATTATCAGTATAAAAAACTTTACATTACAATATATGAATGATTAACTCATATTTATATATGTTACCTAAAAAAATACATAGAGATGAAGATAATATATAATATGATTGTTATAAAATTAATTTATTTACCAATAGTAATGTTATCTCTTTTAATTAAGTCTATAATCAGGATACTTTGTATTAAGCAAAACTATATTTTTATTCTTCATTTTATTTTCAAATTTATTTTGATTCTTTGTACTTATATAAGATATAAAAATTGTTTAATTATAAATTCACTTACATGAAAATTATTAAATTCAAATAATATTTAAATAAAAAAGTCAAACAATGTAAAAATCATGTCAAAATGAGTTCAACTAACAACTAAAAACTTATAAATAACCATAGATGAAATTATTTCTTGGTTGCTCCTGTGACTTACTTTTACACGATGTTTTACTATGTTTACAGGTTAGTTTTATAGTTTTGAATAAAACACATTTTACATCTTAAATATGTTAAAAATGGTTTGAAATTGATTTCCAAAACTGAAAAATAATTATTATTTCAAAAAAATCAAATTGACAAATTTAAGTGACAAAAAATATTTAGTACATGACAATTTTTTTATGCATGAGAATCATAAATTTTAAGAATCATAAAAATTTGTTTAGTTAGTTATAAATATTTATATATATTACCTAAAAATTAAATATTTTTACTACATTAAATAAACAATTAAAGATAGTATGAGGTTTATCCCATTCAAACTTAACTTTTACATCGAAAAAGTTAGTTTTTCACATCTCATGAAAATAATTTCGGGAGAAATCTATGTAAAAATATTTTCAAAAAATAATATTTTTTCAAACAAACCAAAATGAGAAATTAACACTTCTAACATTAGATTCTAGAAAAAAAATATATTAACTACTAAACAAAATAACCAATAATATAATTTAATCTAAATATTATTATTATAAAACTATCTTTTCTCATAATATTGCAAAATATTACGTTATTCTTTTATTCGAACAATAAATGCATTAACTAGGTCACCGAACAATAAATAATTACTCTGCCTTTATTGGAACAATAAATGCAATAACTAGGTAACCGAACCATAAATAAATACTCTGTCGAATAATTAATTTCAATATTTCATAATACTGAACAATACATTAAACACTCGCTACTCTCTCTTTCGTTTTTTTTTTCTCCTCTCTTCTCTTTCCTTTTTCTTTCTTCTCCATTCTTAAAAAATATCTTTAATGTTTTAAAATCATTAAATATTTTAAATTATTTTTTACGTAATTATTTTTAAATTATTAAATATTTAAATATATCTAATAATAAAATTATTAAATGTTTAAAACTATACTAATGCTTGTTTGTAAAGTTTAATATTAAAATTTTAATTTTTCACATATATTTAAAAGTCCATTATATATATGGTAAAATTAAATTACAAAATCCACATTAAACATTTAATAAAAGAAGGAAATTTAATTCAAAATAATTAAAACTTTTAAATTCTTTTTAAATCTTGAATATTTCTAAATATACATTTCAGAAAACAATAACAAAAACGCAAAAGAGATATGTAAAGACTAAAGAGAAGGAAAAAAGAAAAAGGTATTCAGAGAATCCTCTCTAGAAGGTCAATTGTCCCTTTCACAGGGATTTTCATGTGATATTATCCTAAAGATGAACTTGTTCCATAATTGCAGTTTCATTCAAAAGTTTTGGTCAAGTGAAATGTTTTCTTTATCTGGTTGGAGGAAGGGGTTGAGAGTGGATGGAGAACTCGTCGTGTTTTTGTAATTTTTTATAAATAAAAAATATAGAAAATTAAAAAGAGATAAAAAAAAAAAAAAACCTTTAACACTCTTTTAATTTTTTTCATAAGAAACAAATGATAACAAAAGATAGATCAAATTACACATTTGATCTTCAATTTTTTAAGATCTATAATTTTGATCATTATATTTAGTTTTTCTATTTTTAAAAATAGGGAATTTTGGTATGTCAATTTGATCAAAGAGTAAAAATTTTGTATTTCTTTTGTAGAATTAAAGAAACTATGGTGGTGTAGTAATATATAAATATATTAAAAAAAATTGTTAATATTGGAAAATGAGAGTGAAAGGGAGAAGAAGGGTACCAAGAAGAAAGGAACAAGCTCTCCAACCACCTCGTTTAGATTTGAGAACAGGTTTTCCTTTAAGATCCACAGTTCCATCTTGTGCATACCCACTCACCAAGCTTCTTCCCTCTTCCATATATAGCCACAATAATCTTCCAAAGGACACAAAATTAAGATATGTGTTTGGAGCCTCAACGCTTCTTCCCTCATCAAATTTAACACCAAAATTGTTCTCAAACAAGCCAAGAACAAGTACTAATAGTTAATTACTTGTCTCACGGTTCATGCACATACGTGACTTCATTCTGAAACTCAACCAAACTAGTGAAGTGTATGTGAATTTCCACACTTGACATATATTGAAGTGATCATGCAAGACGAAACCACCCCGGCCTTTTAAAGGCTTCACTTTTTGAGGTCAAAAGTATCTTCTCTTTCAAGCTTCGTCAATAAGATATTATAAATTAAGTTCAAAAAGTAAGAAATTATTCATCAACAATTAATAACCTCCTTTTTTTTTTTTTAGGTATTTGTACTAGAAAATATAGATTATGTATTGTCTTATAAAATAATTTTACACTATCATCTAATTTTAAAATATATATAATAATTTGTTAATTTCACCTATAACAAAATAGATTTTTAGTGATATTTAATATTATTTTTAGTGGTAATAAAAATTATTACAAAATTTTTTAGTGACATTTCCACAATAGTCATTGTATGCAATGTCGCTAAAATATTTAGCGGCAATTATTCTGAATGCTGGTAAAAATCCTTAAAATAATTGGAAAAAATGTATAACTATTTATGACATTTTTTACTTTCTACTCAATATGAGACTTGTAAGATAAGGATTGTCTTTTACTTATATATTTTTTAATTGTCTTGTCTCCTAACATTTTTTAATAGATGTAGGATTTGAATTTTTTCCAATACATGTACACCCCTTCAAGTTTAGGGACTATTGAGTTTGATAATGGTGAATAATTTGATACTAATTTAGAATAGTAAGTTATAGGTCTAACTTAACCTTACAAAATAAACTTGTAAAGTGAGAGTTATCACCCATTTATATACTCTTTAATTATCTTATTTCTAGTCAATATGAGACTTAAGTTTTTCTAAACAAATAATTATAGTAAATTTTTGTATATATAAATATATTTTTAGTGACTATTATATCTTAGTCATTAATATTTTTATTAAATAATAAAATAAAAATAATTAATTTATTGTCACTAAATAATTATCGGTAATAATCAATTTTATTGTAATGTTTTATAATAAATAACTAAATAATAATATTATCGATAATTTGTAAGAGTTTAATGACTATTCATTCCTGTCAATTAATCACAAATAACTGTTAATTTTTAACTTTCAATATTATTACCGTGATAAGTCAATAAACTTTATTACCATATAGATAGTAGTTTAAGATTCCATGGCAGTATAAAGTTGTTTTGCTTTGTAAATGAATGGTTTTTTGTCCTTTTCCAAATTGGAATTGGTTGATAGTAAAAAAGGTATTGAGTTTAATGGTCATATAAAATATTTATACTATCTTCTAATAAAAAGTTATCATTCGGATGACTTTTACCGCAGAAATTAACAAATTTTCGTATACAATATGGTGTGAATCTTGATTAGATAAAAGTATAAAATCGATTTACACTATTGGTGTATAGGTTTTTTTTTTTTTTTTTAAGGTATTTGATATGTAAAATGTTTATTTTTTTTTATAAGAATTTTAAACCGAAAATCTTGATTGATTATATATATATATATATATATGGTAACTATTATAAAAAAAATCCTAAAAATATAATTTTTTTGGGAAGCATTTTTATTTTACTTTTCTAAAAAATATTTTCATGGGAGGTAGAAATCCAAATTTCTCAAAAGAAAAGTTTAATGTATATAAAAAGAGTATAATATCTTTTTTTTTAAATAGAAATTAACTCTCTTTCTCTATCTCTCCCACTCTCACTCCCTCTCTCTTCTTCTATCTCTCTCTCTCTTTCTATCTTCTCTCTCCCTCCCATATTTTTATATCTCTCTCTTTCTTATATTTCATTATTTATTGTCATTGTCAATTTTAATAATATTATTAAAATATATTTTGTTTCTACAATTTAATAATATTTATTAACACTTATTTATTTATTTATTTGAATGAAATAAGATAATATATTTTTATCCTTTATAATTATTATGTAACATTTTATTTATTTATTTATTTTATTAAATTCTGTATTTAAATAATTTTAACTATAAATTTTCAATCTTTTAAAATATTATAATGATATATTTGTAATAAAATTTGTAATTCCTTACGATAATAATTTCAGGATATGAAAAAATCTTCTCCACTACCATGAATATTAAACCTTTGTTTTATTTGATAAAAAATAAATGCAGTTACAACTTATGACAAAAAATTATTTATTGTATTTACGTTTATTGCCAAGTTAATCTTTTTAGATTTGTTGCTTCATAATTCATAATGCGGGAAAATTTGTAATCATAAAAATATTTTAAGGACGTTTAATAGAAGAGTTGTTTTTTTTTTTAATGAGTCACGGATAATGAAAATTATAAATACTAAAATCGTGATTTCTATGAATGATTAAAATGTGTTTGATTGTTCGTGAATATTTTAAAGAATATCAAATAGAAATAAACATTTGTATTGCAATGAAACTTTTCTTTTAAATTAGAAATGTTAGATTCCTACTTGCTTTTATAGTAACAATTTTGTAGAAAAGAAATGTAAAAATCATTCCTTCCTAGGAATAATATTTCATATGAATGTTATTTTTAATAAATAAATCAAATATGAAAAACTAATTTTTCCAAGTTCAAAATTCTTATTAAATTTTGAGAATTATGATTTCTATGAATGATTAAAGTGTATTTAATTAACATAAATATTGCTAGAAATATTTATATCTATTATATGAAAATTAATAATTTTTATTACATTAAATAGGTAAATAAAGTTAACATAACATTTTTACTTCAATAAAATTTTTTATTTAACTTGGTAATATTAGATTCTCACCCATGAGAACAATTTCTTAAGTAAAACTCAAATGTTTCATAGAAATGTTATTTTTTAATTAATAAATTAAACATAAAAACTGACATTTTAAACTTTACATCTTTACAAAAGTAAAAAAATTTCATGTATTATCCTTTTAAGTAAGAGAACTATATACAACTATTTTTTTGGGTAAGCATGATATTGATATAAAATATTCATCATTAAAAGTAGTGACTAATCTTTGTCAAGACCATCAACACATACAAGATGATATTCCCTTATCGATATAGTCTATTCCATATAAATTATTTTGGATATACAACTATTTTGTTTTATATATATATATATATATATATATATATATATTTACATA